TGCAGCCTCAAACTCCTGGCTCAAGGGATCCTCCCACCTCAGTGGCTTGGATGACAGGCACACATCACCACGCTCAATTAATTTTTTTATTTTTTGTAGAGACAGGGTCTCACTATGTAGCCCAGGCTGGTCTCAAACTCCTGGACTCAAGTAAGCATCTTGCCTCCGCCTCCCAAAGTGGTGGGATTACAGGTATGAGCCACATGCCTGGCCTCAAGACATATTTTATTTGCATTTTGATTTCTCTTTTTATTCATTAGTTGTTCAAAAGTGTGTTGTTTAATTTCCACATACTTGTGAATTTTTCAATTTTCCTCCAGTTATTGATTTCTAGTTTCACAGCATTGTGGTTAGAGAATATATTGGACATATTTTTGATTTTCTTAAGTTTGTTAAGACTTGTTTTCTGATCTAGCATATGATCTGTCTTGGAGAATGGTCTATGTGCACTAGAAAAACAATGTATATTTTGTGACTGTTGAATGGAATATTCTGTATATGTTTGTTAGGTCCACTGGGTCTATAGTATTGTTCAATCCTGCTTTTCCTTACTGATTTTCTGTCAGATAATCTAACCATTGTTGGAAGTGGGGTATTGAAGACCCCTACTATTATTGTATTGCTGTCTATTTCTCCCTTTAGTTATGTTAATATTTGCTTTATATATTTAGCTGTTCTAATGTTGAGTGCATACATAGTCATAATTGTTATATACTTTGGATGCATTGACTTTGTTATTATTAGATAATGACCTTCTTTGTCTCTCATGACAGTTTTTGACTGAAAGTTCACTTTGTGTAAAATAAGAGTAGCCACCCCTACTCTCTTTTGGTTACCATTTGTGTGGAATATATTTTTTCATCCTTTCACTTTCAGCCATAGTCAACTCACTTAAAGTGAGTCTCTTGTAGGCAGTATATAGCTGGATAGTATTTAAAATCCATTCAACCATTCTGATTTTTGATTGGACAACTCAATCCATTAACATTTAAAGTAATTATTGATAGGTAAAGACTTATTATTGCCATTTTGTTAATTATTTTCTGACCATTTTGCAGTTTCTTTTTCTCTCTCTGTCTTCTTTTGTGATTTAGGGATTTTTATAGTGGTGTGCTTGATTCCTTTTTCTTTCTTTTTTGTGTATCTACTATGGGTTTTTCTTTTCAGTTATCATGAAACTTACATAAAATGTCTTATGTTATAACATCCTAATTTAAGCTGTTAACAATTTAACTTCTATCACATTCAAAAAGTCTATACTTTAACTTCTCCTCCCCCCACATTTTGTGTTATTGATGTTACAATTTAAATCTTTTATATATTGTGTATGTATTAACAAATTATTATAGTGGTAGTTATTTTTAATACTTTGTCATTTAACTTTTATACTAGAATTAAAAGTATTTTACACATTACTATTAAATAATTAGAGTATTCTGAATTTGATTATATTCTTAACTATATGGTGAGTTTTATATTTTCCACATATTTTCTTGTTGGTAATTAGTGACCTTTAACTTCAACTTGAAGAACTCCCATTAGCACTTCCTGTAAGCCAGGTCTAGTTGATGAATGCCCATAGCTTTGGCTTATCTAGGAGTCTTTTCCTCTCCTTGTTTTTGGAGAACAGCTCTGCTGGGTATAGTATTTTTGGTTGCAATTTTTTTTTTTCTTTTGGCTCTTTGAATATATTATCAAATTCTCTCATGGCTGTAAGGTTTCTGTTGAGAAATCTAATCATCATCTTATCAATGTTCCTTTATATGTGATGAGTCACTTTTCTCTTGAAATTCACTTTCTCTTTGATCTTTGACTTTTAAGAATTTGAATTTCACACATCTTGTGAAGATCTCTTAATATTTAATCTATTTGTAGTTCTTTGAGCTTCATGAGTCTGAATGTTCATTTCTCTCTTCAGATTTGGAAATTTTTCTGTAAGTATGTATTTTAATAAGCTTTCTGTTCCTTTCTCTTTCTCTGCTTTTTGTGGGGTCCTGTAATGTGAATATTAGTTTGATGATCTCCTATTAGTCCTTGTACACTTTCTTTATTGTTTTCCATTCTTTTTTCTTTCTATTCCTCTGACTGAGTAATTTCAAATGACTTGTCTTTGAGCTTGCAGAATTTTTTTTTCTTTTGTGTGATTAATTGGCTGTTTAAGCTTTCTATGAAATCTTTCAGTTCAGTCATGTGTTCTTCAGTTCCATAATTTCTGTTTGGTTCTTTATTATGGTTTATATCCCTTTGTTGAGTTTCTAATTTTGTTTACATATTATTTTCCAAGTATCATTTAGTGTTCTATCTAAGTTCTTTTGTAGCTCACTTTTTTTTTTTTTTTTGAGACAGAGTTTCACTTTTGTTGCCCAGGCTGTAGTGCAATGGCATGATCTCAGCTCACTGCAACCTCTGCCTCCCAAACTCAAGCAATTCTCCTGCCTCAGCTTCCTCACTAACTGGGATTATTAGGCATGCACCACCATGCCTGGCTAATTTTGTATTTTTAGTAGAGATAGGGTTTCCCCATGTTGTTCAGGCTGATCTTGAACTCCCGACCTCACGTAATCCACCTGCCTTGGCCTCCCAAAGTGCTAGGATTACAGGCATGAGCCACTGCGCTTGGCCTCACTGTGCTTTTTTAAGAGAATTATTTTGACTTATTTGCCAGGCAGTTCATAGATATCCATTTCTTTAGGGTCAGTTACTGGTGCTTTATTGGGTTCCTTTAAATAGAAAATATTTTCCTAATTATTTGTGTTCCTCGTAGCCTTGCATTGACATCTGTAGATATGAAGAAGTAGACACCTCTTCTAGTCTTTATGGACTGGCTTTGACAGGAAAAGTCCTTTATCAGTCAGCCATCCAGACACTCTGGGAAGCCTATCTGGTAATGTCCATGGGCAGGTTTGCTGCTAGAGTTTTAGGACCAGGCTGGCCTGGTCCCTGGTCTCTGGTCCTTGGGCTGGCAGGTGGGGCTGGTGCCTGGGTCTATGGGGCAGGCCTGGTGCCAAGGGCCACAGCAGCCAATCTGGCACTGGGGCAAACCTTGAGCTGGAATCCACTGGCACCAGCTGGGGGCTGGGATGGGCCAGGTCCTGAATCTGCAGGGGCTGGCTTGGCACCAAGGTCCACTGGGATGGACTGTAGTACTTGGATTCAGAGGGGTGGTCCTGGATCCTGGGTCTGTAGGGATGAGTCCATAGGGGCAGGCCTGGAGGCTGGGTCCACAAGGGCTTTCCTGGTGCCTAGGCCTATAGGGCCAGCTTGGTGCTGGGGCAGGCCTGGAGCCTGAAGCTACAGGGGCTGGCCTGGAGCCTGTGTCCATGAGAGTGGCCTGGTGTGATGGTAGACTTGGAGGTTGGGTCTATAAGGGACAGCCTGGCCCTGGGATGGGCCTGGAGCCTGGTACCAGGGCATGCCTGGAGCCTGGGGCCATGGGTCTGGCCTGGGGTCACAGGGGCTGACCTGGTGTCATGGCTCACTGGGGCAGACCTGGTATTGGGCTCCATAGTGAAGTCAGGCCTGTACTGTGATGCCCGGATTCGGGGAAGGGGTGAAGCTGTCCTTTCTATGTTTCTCAAAGTGTTTTTTCTTATTTTTGTACTCTATCTAGGTAGTGTAATGTATGTTTCACCTGGATTTCTTAGCTTTTATGAAAATATTTTTGGGCATGGACGGTTGTTTATATTGATGTTTCTGGAAGAGAATGTGTGCTAAAATCCTAGTCTCCCTTCATACTGACATCACTCTCCAACCTTAGTTTGATTTGGAAAAATACAGCAGTGACTTTTAAAAAAACACACAGCTAAGATGATGGAGTAAAATTCATGCCTGCTATACATGATTTCCGTTTTAAAGATCTCTATCTTCGCAACTGCGCTTTAGCCAACAATAAAATAATTCTGTCTTTCTTGAGCAGGGAGAAACTGATGATGGAAAGAAGTCAGTGAATGATAAAATTGGTTTTTGGATTATCTGCAAAGTGGAAATAATCAAGAGTTGGTTAAAATTACTACTAGCTCTCCCTGTCATCAAAATTTGTAAATAACAACAACAGTGTTAAGAGCATTAGCCAGGTGTGGAGGATGTACTGTGTTGGATACCGAGTGCAAGGATCTCCAATTACATTATTTAGTTGAATTGCCTGAAAGCCCTGTGAGGCAGGAACTTATTATTCCCACTTTAGAAATAGGAGACACTGAGTTTAAATAACTTTTTTAAAAGCACAGAGCCAGCTCTTACTCTGCTTACATGGGGAGTTATACAGCTGCAACAGCATAATCTCTCAAGTCACCCTGCACAGAAAAGAATGCATCACAGGCAAGATACAGGGTGATGTCAAGTGGCAAGGGCTGGAGGTGGAAGGGGCTTTGGGAGGGTCTGGACGTAGAGAGTTGGGATCATCTGGCCTTGGGTTCCGTTTCTCTCTGCATGTCCACTGCATCTT